TGTGTTTAAATGCTTTGTTTGTAAGGCTTGATAAAGCCCCCCTGGAGAGTGAAACATTATTGTTTCTATTTATTGGGGGTCACCCTGGCGGGGTCGCCCTGGAAGGGTCACCCTGGAAGAGCCACCCTGGAAGAGTCACCCTAGAAGGGTCACCCTAGGGTGGTCACTCTTGGGGGCACCCTGGGGGTCACCCTGGGGGTCACCCTAGGGGGTCAGCCTACCTAGGTGGGAGACGGCTGGTGTGTTAAAACATTAACATTTGTTAAATGTGCCATATATTTTCTCCCACAGTTCCAGCAGGACTTCTCGGGCAACATGTCGTGGGAGCAGGTGCAGGAGACGCGCGTGCACCACATGATGCGGGCTTGTACCTCCCTCAACCTCAACCAGACACTAGATTATGTGGTGTTGAAGCACATCCTGGTCGATACCCGCCACAAGGCTCTCATGTGCTTCGTGCCCAAGGTGGGTAAAGATGGATGAGGACAGTGAATAGGCGGGCAAAGTTGGGACGATGAGTGGAATAGATTGTTAGAACCGACTCACAAAATCGCACTGACAGGGATAAAACAACCAGCTGGATGAAGTCGAGTTCGTACCTACGATCATCTAGCCCTGAGTCTAACAAGCCAGTGCGTTGTCCACTCTGTCATCCCAGGTGATAAAGTGATCTGTGTGTATTTCTAGAAAACACTAAGATAAAGTACCGGCCTGTTAGTTTTAGGGCTGGCTTGCCGTATGTTCGAGCCCCCACTCCGTTCAGTGAGTGTAGGAAATGTGCGTAGTTAGAGGGAAGTGAGGTTGAGTGATGAGTTGGTAGGTAAGCAACATTAGTATACGGATAATTTGTACACAAGAAGGGTAGGTAGGTTGGCATTGTGGGTAGGTGGGTGAGCATTGTGAATAGGTGTGTGGTTATGGTTGATAAGTGGGTGGATAAGGTACGTGGATGAGTAAAGTTAATAGGTATTACCTGGAGTTTACCTGGAGAGAGTTCCGGGGGTCAACGCCCCCGCGGCCCGGTCTGTGACCAGGCCTCCTGGTGGATCAGCGCCTGATCAACCAGGCTGTTGCTGCTGGCTGCACGCAAACCAACGTACGAGCCACAGCCCTGCTGATCAGGAACTGACTTTAGGTGCTTGTCCAGTGCCAGCTTGAAGACTGCCAGGGGTCTGTTGGTAATCCCCCTTATGTGTGCTGGGAGGCAGTTGAACAGTCTCGGGCCCCTGACACTTATTGTATGGTCTCTTAACGTGCTAGTGACACCCCTGCTTTTCATTGGGGGATGGTGCATCGTCTGCCAAGTCTTTTGCTTTCGTAGTGAGTGATTTTCGTGTGCAAGTTTCGGTACTAGTCCCTCTAGGATTTTCCAGTGTATATAATCATGTATCTCTCCCTCCTCGGCGTTCCAGGGAATACAGGTTTAGGAACCTCAAGCGCTCCCAGTAATTGAGGTGTTTTATCTCCGTTATGCGCGCCGTGAAAGTTCTCTGTACATTTTCTAGGTCGGCAATTTCACCTGCCTTGAAAGGTGCTGTTAGTGTGCAGCAATATTCCAGCCTAGATAGAACAAGTGACCTGAAGAGTGTCATCATGGGCTTGGCCTCCCTAGTTTTGAAGGTTCTCATTATCCATCCTGTTATTTTTCTAGCAGATGCGATTGATACAATGTTATGGTCCTTGAAGGTGAGATCCTCCGACATGATCACTCCCAGGTATGGTTGGTGAGTGAGTACTCAAGGTCGTGGGTTAAAGTGGTGGTTGAGTATGGTTGGTTGGTTGGTAAGTAGGTGGGTAGGTGGTTGAGTAAGATGGGTAAATAAGTAGGTGGGTTGGTAAGGTAGCCTGGTGGATATGGTTGGTAGGTGAGGGTTGGTAAGGATGGTAAATCAGTGGGTTGGCAAGGTTGGTAGGTGGGTGGATGGCTAGGGTGGATACTTGTGGGTAGCTAAAGTTGATAACATATGACACTGTAACACTCCACTGCACCATCCACTGCACCATCCACTGCACCATCCACTGCAACATCCACTGCACCATCCACTGCACCATCCACTGCACCATCCACTGCACCATCCACTGCACCATCCACTGCAACATCCACTGCAACATCCACTGCACCATCCACTGCACCATCCACTGCACCATCCACTGCACCATCCACTGCACCATCCACTGCAACATCCACTGCAACATCCACTGTAAGACGAAGTCTTACAGCGGATGGATTGAAGTCTTACAGTGGATGGATTGATGGATTGATAGACTGCCCAAAACTGTGGGCAATCTATCAAAAATATGTTATGTACCACAAGTCTCTCTACTCTGTACCACTTACTACCCAGTGTTTACTTCACTTGTGGCATCTGTGCTTGGGGATCCACAACAACATACCACCTAAAACATATTGTTTCTAATCAAAAATCAGCTATTGGAATAATCATCTATTCAGGTTGCAGACAACACACACACACACACACACACAAGAGCCAGGAGCTTGGACTCGACCCCTGCAACCTCAACTAGGTGAGTACAGGACTTCAAAGAAACCTGCACAGACTGGACACCTGGTCCAGCAACTGGCTTCTCGAATTTAATCCCGCCAAATGCAAAGTCATGAAGATAGGGGAAGGGCACAGAAGACCACAGACAGAGTATAGGCTAGGTGGCCAAAGACTGCAAACCTCGCTCAAGGAGAAAGATCTTGGAGTGAGTATAACACCGAGCATGTCTCCGGAAGCACACATCAACCAGATAACTGCAGCAGCATATGGGCGCCTGGCAAACCTGAGAACAGCGTTCCGATACCTTAGCAAGGAATCGGTCAAGACACTGTACACCGTGTACGTCAGGCCGATACTGGAGTATGCAGCACCTGTTTGGAACCCGCACTTGATCAAGTACGTCAAGAAATTAGAGATTTTGCAAAGGTTTGCGACAAGGTTAGTTCCAGAGTTAAGGGGAATGTCCTATGAAGAAAGGTTAAGGGAAATAGGCCTGACGACACTGGAGAACAGGAGGGTCAGGGGAGACATGATAACGACATATAAAATACTGTGCAGAATAGACAAGGTGGACAAAGACAGGATGTTCCAGGGAGGGGACACAGAAACAAGAGGTCACAATTGGAAGTTGAAGACTCAGACGAGCCAGAGTGATGTTAGGAAGTATTTCTTCAGTCATAGAGTTGTCAGGCAGTGGAATAGCCTAGAAAGTGACGTAGTGTTGGCGGGAACCATACATAGTTTTAAGACGAGGTTTGATAAAGCTCATGGAGCGGGGAGAGAGAGGACCCAGTAGCAACCAGTGAAGAGACTGGGCCAGGAGCTAAGGCTCGACCCCTGCAACCACAAATAGGTGAGTACACACACACACACACACACACACACACACACACACACACACACACACACACACACACAGAGGAGGGTGTGGTCAGGTAAGGGACCATGAGACTCCACATAACACTCCAACGCACAATTCCACTTTTTTTTCACACACTTAATAAACCCACACACACACACACACACACACACACACACACACACACACACACACACACACACACACACTGGAAAACCTCATGCATCAACATGTTAGAGACACTACCAGAGAGAGAGACGAGGAGGATCCAGCAAGACTGGACCTTGTATTCACCTTGAGCAGTTCGGACATCGAGGATATCATGTATGAAAGGCCCCTAGGAGCTAGTGATCATGTGGTTCTGTGCTTTGACTACGTAGTTGAGCTACAAGTGGAGAGAGTAGCAGGAGTAGGACGGGAAAAACCGAACTACAAAAGGGAAGACTACACAGGCATGAGGAACTTCCTGCAAGACGTTCGGTGGGAGAGAGAAATGGCAGGAAAATCAGTGAAAGAAATGATGGAATATGTGGCAACAAAATGCAAGGAGGCAGAGAAGAGGTTTGTTCCCAAGGGAAACAGAAATAGTGAGAAGACCAGAACGAGTCCTTGGTTCACCCAAAGGTGTAGGGAGGCAAAAATTAGGTTTACTAGAGAATGGAAAGGATACAGAAGACAAAGGACCCAGGAAAACAAAGAGATCAACCAAGGAGCCAGAAACGAATATGCACAGATAAGAAGGGAGGCTCAGCGACAATACGAAAATAACATAGCATCGAAAGTCAAGTCTGACCTGAAGCTGTTGTATAGCCACATCAGGAGGAAAACAACAGTCAAGGACCAGGTAATCAGACTGAGGAAGGAAGATGGAGAGTTCACAAGAAACGACCAGGAGGTATGTGAGGAGCTCAACATGCGATTTAAAGAAGTATTTGCAATGAAAACTGGTAGGACTCCAGGTAATCAGAACAGGGAGGTACACCAACAACTGCTGGATGAGGTACACATAACCGAGGAGGAGGTGAAGAAGCTATGTGAACTTTATACCTCAAAGGCGGTGGAACCAGACAACATCTCTCTGTGGGTCCTTAAAGAGGGAGCAGAGATGCTGTGTGTGCCACTAACAAAGATTTTCAACACATCCATTGAAACTGGGCATCTCCCTGAGGTATGGAAGATGGCAAATGTAGTCCGAATTTTTAAAAAAGGAGACAGACACGAGGCATTAAACTACAGACCTGTGTCACTAACATGTATAGTATGCACAGTCATGGAGAAGATCATCAGGAGGAGAGTGGTGGAACACCTGGAAAGAAATAAGTGTATAATCGACAACCAGCACGGTTTCAGGGAAGGAAAATCCTGTGTCACAAACCTACTGGAGTTTTATGACAAGGTGACAGAAGTAAGACAAGAGAGAGAGGGATGGATAGACTGCATTTTCTTGGACTGCAAGAAAGCCTTCGACACAGTTCCTCACAAGAGGTTAGTGCAAAAGCTAGAGGATCAGACACACAACAGGAAAAGCACTGCAATGGATCAGAGAATACCTGACAGAGAGGCAACAATGAGTCATGGTAGGTGACGAGGTGTCAGAGTGGGCGCCTGTAACAAGCGGGGTTCCACAGGGGTTAGTCCTAGGACCTGTGCTGTTCTTGGTATATGTAAATGACATAACGGAAGGGATAGACTCATAAGTGTCCTTGTTTGCAGATGATGTGAAGTTAACGAGGAGAATTAAATCGATCGAGGATCAGGCAGGACTACAAAGCGACCTGGACAGGCTACAAGCCTGGTACAGCAACTGGCTCCTGGAATTTAACCCTGCCAAATGCAAAGTCATGAAGATCGGGGAAGGGCAAGGAAGACCGCAGACACAGTATAGTCTAAGTGGCCAAAGACTGCAAAGCTCACTCAAGGAAAAGAACCTTGGCATGAGTATAACACCGAGCACGTGTCCTGAGGCGCACATCAATCAGATAACTGATGCAGCATACGGGCGTCTGGTAAAGCTGAGGATAGCGTTCCGATACTATTACAGGTAGGAGACACTTTAAAAAGGTTTTCGTTTTTCCCGGGCTGCATCGTTTTCTTCTCAAGAA